ATGGCGAGACTGAGGGAGCGGTTAAGTGACTCGCACAAGATCAGACACAGCAGAGTCAAGAATAGAACCCTGATCACATGCTATCAAATCCTATCTCCCAAATTCGTAAGTAGGCATACAACAACAACCAAAAGTTTTCAGAGCTGCTACTGACTATGAGGTAACTACATAATTAAAGAGGGATTTTTAATATGTAATTATCAAAATTAAAACTGGTACTTAAAGAATGTTAGCTTCAAAACACTATTGCTTACTTTATTAAATGTAACTTTTCTTCCCAAATGGTAAAGATTATCTAAACAAAATGGACTCAAACACAAATACTGCCATGACCTAGAATTCTCAAATACATACCATTTTTTTCAGCAAAGGCAATGGCATCTTCTTTAGTAGAGAAAGCTAGAACCATGTTGGACAAAGGATCAGCACTGTAAGATATAAAACATAAAATATTAATATATATTTGAAGTGTAACACTAAGCATTTTGTATACTAATGTTTGCACCTCATGGTCTAACTAATGCCACTTTATGTATACATTTTTAAAGACACCATAAAGAAAATGTATCATCCCCAAACAAACCTGAGTCCTTTTACTTTTAAGTTAGGATTTAATTTCAATATAAAAAGATTTTTCCCATGGGAAGATTTTTCTTTGTTTTTCAAACAAACAATCTGTGTTAAACTTTTGGTTTTATTTTCAGAAACTGATATTTTAAAATTGTAACTATGTAAGTTCCTAAGCATATGCCAATGACATAAGCAACCAGTGCTCTATGACAACCTTTTAATTCTAAAACTGTTTGAAAAAGAAAGATGAATTTTGAGGGATTGAAAAGGTGAAAGATGTAAATACTGAACAATGTAAAGAGACAAGGAGCCTGTCTTTACTCTTTTTGCTTTGTGAATCTACATTATTGCAGAAGGAAAAGCAAGACTTCACAGCAAGTAGGCCAGGAATACTTAGAACAGTGGTTCCCAAACTTGTTCCGCCGCTTGTGCAGGGAAAGCCTCTGGAGGGCCGGGCCGGTTTGTTTACCTGCCGCGTCCGCAGGTTTGTCCGATCGCGTCTCCCAGTGGCCGCAGTTCGCTGCTCCAGGCCAATGGGAACACGGCCAGTGGGAGCCGTGATTGGCCGAACCTGTGGACGCAGCTGGTAAACAAACCGGCCCAGTCCGCCAGGGGCTTTCCCTGCACAAGCAGTGGAACAAGTTTGGGAACCACTGACTTAGAGAATACCTGAGCAAACCTGGCATCTAGAACTGCCTGAAAATTGACAAAGTTATGTTTGTGATGACCTCCACATTCACAAGTCTTTCCAGAGCAGCATTTAAATGCAACAGAAGCCATCTCTACCCTAATAAAACAAGTCCAGAAGCCCTCTGAGCTAAACGAGTAGTGTTCAGAAGCCCAAACACATAAGCTAATTGTTACTTGTAGATCAATTGTCTTAGTCTCATTTCTGAAAGGCACAAAGTGGCAAAATGATTTTTGAAATGTGGGTCCAACCATAGTAAAAACTATGGGTCCACTTAGCAGCTATAAAAATTCCACCTAGAGCACTGAAAACAAAGGAGTAAAGCTATATGGTAATTGATTAACCTGCAAATTTAACAGCAATTCTAGGAAGAAATTTGGGGTAACACTACTGGAGCATAAAACCTAGTCTGGCGTCCTGCCGTTCTGAGACAGCAAGTGCTTAAGAAAGTGGGAGGTGGATCACTGAAAAAGCCAAAGGCTGAACAGCAAGAACTGCAATAGGGGTTTCTTCTTGGCTGTTCATCCTAGGAAGTCAAAAGGATGGATGAAGAGGAAAAGCAGTACAAAGGACGTGACACTCTCCAATAAAGAAGAAAGCCTCTGAATGGGGGGTGGGGGAGGGGAGAAAAAAAAATCTAGTTCCAGTGCAGAAAAGATGAAACATGTAATCTTATCCACTGGGCAAACTAATGTGCAGATGGGATCCACCAGTGATCCAACATCTTACTCCTCAAAGAGGAAAGTGAAGAGGGGGAAACAGACTGTCCATCAGCCACCAAGATAAGGACATCTCATAAAAAGGCAATGAAGAGAATTAAAAACTGGAAACTAGTCCAAAGCATGACCACTAGGTATATTAAGGGACCACGTGATGAACCTTTGATCTTCGCTATCATCTTCTGTGAAAAAGAGATCCACCCTCTATTATGAAGTAGCAGTAAAATCCTGAGATAGAGGAGTAAAATCCTGTCTGGGTTACAAAACCCTCAAGTTTGTTCAGTACCAAATATGGTGACAATTTTCCAGCAATCAGATACTATGGGGATGGAGGATATATAAAGCAGATTGCCTATTGATCTCTATGTTCACCAGGGAGTATCTCTGAAGAAGTTGTTCATCCTATATAAAGGTACAACTGTGTTCCCTCTTTCTGTAAGTTGGCTGCTGAAGGTCAGAGAGCAGATGTTAGAGGATAAATGAGAGGGCATGATATTGCCAACAGAGCTCTCAGAAGCAAGTTATTTACTAATACACATTTCTAAATGGTCTATTACTATAGTATATGAGCACTCTTAGTTATTTGCGTACAAGAAGTCACCTCTAATGGAAACACAGCTGTCCTCTATCTCCTCCATGGCAACTATTCCAGGGCATGGCATGGCATGGCATGGCAGGTCGCCATCACCAATACATCACGGAGGACACTGGTATGAAAAGATGGGAACCACAGATTTGATGTTCAATGAAGAATACTTGCACTGATAGCCACTTTGCAAGAGCTATGTTGAAGAAAATAAAATCTTAGCTATTTCTTGCATTGAACAGCTAGTTGGAAATAAGCTGTAAGTAGGCCAAAGAAAATTTACCCAATGTTTTTGTCTTGAACATTGGATTGAGTGTAAACACAACTGGGTCAAAGGTTTTATAAATTAGTTTATACCTATTAATCTTTGTATTGAACTCTGATAACTGAAGGTGCGATGCTACTAGATAGTTATGTACACAGAACAGCTACTCATAGAATCATAGAATATCAGGGTTGGAAGGGATCTCAGGAGGTCATCTAGTCCAACCCCCTGCTCAAAGCAGGACCAATTCCCAGACAGATTTTTGCCCCAAATCCCTAAATGGCCCCCTCAAGGATTGAACTTACAACTCTGGGTTTAGCAGGCCAATGCTCAAACCACTGAGCTATCCCACCTGAATAACTATTTCTAAATAATTCCATGTGGGCACACTTATTCCAAAATAAAATTGTCTTTTTTAAAATTGGCTCAATCTGGATTAAGGTAAACCAGAAAAAGGCGCACTGATTCCAGAATAAGAAAGTCCATACCTGGAGTTATTCAGACAATTATTCTGGAATCGCTATTCCGCTTTATATTCACACCCAACCTTACTCTGGAATAACTATCATGTATAGACAAGACCTTGGTAATAACATTAATTCTTCTGGAGGATTATTTTGTAAATGTAAAAGTTGCCTTTTTGGCTGAAAATCAGGCAAAATTTCACCCAGGAAAAGAAATTGAAAAAAGCTGAAAAGTACGGGATTAGGATAGAAGTTCAAACTCAACCTTAACTAAAGCAGGGGTTGCTGGATACTGCTACCGTATCATTAGATGTTTACAAATATAGATAGAAATAAAGAACATATTTTAACTGTTAGGTACTTGGTTGAGTGGGGCAGAGGGGGAGAGTAAAGGGGTGAACAGAGAGGGAAAATGGTGATCCACAGCCTCTCTCTTCTGAGCTACTTGTTTAAAAACATTTTGGTTATGATTTACCATTTGATGACAAAAAGAACGAGGAGTACTTGTGGCACCTTAGAGACTAACATTTATTTGGGCATATACACAGAGAACATGAAAATATATATATCTTCCTACTGTATTTTCCACTGCATGCATCTGAAGAAGTGGGCTGTAGCCCACGAAAGCTTATGCCTAAATAAATTTGTTAGTCTCTAAGGTGCCACAAGTACTTCTCATTCTTTTTGCTGATACAGACTAACAAGACTACCACTCTGAAACATTTGATGACAGTTCAGTGGTTATGTACAGTATAGAAATCAGCCTAATCCTATTTTATTACATTATTATTAGAGCATGATGCCCTTAAAAAAAAACTGGTTTAAGACTATTAGAGACCAACAGGTGAAAAACATGGAGTCTGAGGGGAGCTGTTTAAGATGGCAAATCATTAATAGACTACATTCATAGGCTTAACATTTCAAAATCATTTGTATTAAAATATGCTGGTTAGTAATCATTCTCTCCTTCTCCTACCAGCTAAGAGCTCACTTCTGAATTCAATATTTTTCCTGCTACACTGGGCATCCGGGAGCTGACATAGGTGTTGGTCGTATCAACTACTGTACAGGAAACGGAACATAGCAAAACAGACCTGAGCCCAGGGTTAATTTTCAAATAAAAATACATTTTAAAAATAGACTATTTTAAAAATTATGCATATATTTTGTGATTGGATTTAGAATATTAAAGAGCTAAACCAATAAACAATCTATACTATTTCAACTTTAAGGTGTGTTTTTTTTAACCACATAGAACAAAGATAATTAAGGGTTTAGTTTCAGTCGCTTTGGTACTAAGCTCTAATGTAATATAAAATAATTGCTAGGGGAAATGTGGACTGTGCTCTTTCCAATGTTTCAAAAAAATTCTGGAATGGGTGAGATATTGAAACAAGTTTTGCTGACAATGTGTAAGTGCTAACTTTTCAGTATAGGTCTGTAGCAAATGATATTTCAGTGGCAATTTACAGTGATGTTAGGAGAAGTGTGCCAAATTCTGATAATTTATGAAATTTGCTACCACTAATTAAAGTGCCTATGAAATGCTATAAAAATTCTGCAGGATCAAAACGGGGACAAGACTGTTTAGTAGGTGATACTCTACAGTTATCACTGCTGCAATTTTTATTTCATCAAGTCAACAAAACATCTTAAAGCATACCAAACCAAGCAATACACCATAATTTTGAAAAGTGGGTAAAGTGATGTAAATACTTATGAAGAAATATATTTAAAGACTGTTCATGAACTAGATACATTTATCTGAAGTTTTGGCTAATTAAAAATGGACCATTCAGAGGGGTTTAGGACGAGGTGTAATTAATGACAGTCAACTACAGTGAGGCTTACAACTCGCTACTATATTGCATATGCAAACATAATCCTTGATTTTTGAGCCATACACTTAAATTAGGTGGAGAAGGAAATTGAAGATTTTTTTTCCAGCCTCTTCTAGCCTGGAGCAATGCAATCTAAATTTGTTTCTAAACCTATTTATGCTAATAGAGAGAGCAGCACGTGTACTGTTATGTTTAAAATTTCATCATGATCACCGTGACCCATCAACCATTTATTATAATTATGGTTAAATACACATGGATTTACATATACAAAGGGCATTTCAAAATAAAATCTGCGAAGATATGAGAGGAGAAATCATTTAAAAATCAGACTCACGTAGATGCCCAGCCCATTAAAGGATTTTCCCAGCGCTCTCTGGTATCAAATTCTAGCTTCCATTTCTTCGTGTTGTTGACACCGGCCTGCATAGCATTACGCGCTGGGACAAAAATCTGAACTTTTCTGGTTTTTATGTGCTCCTCTGGAACGCCAGTTAAAGGAGTGATATCCTACAGAAAGAGAAAAAAAGGCAACTTGTTTAAAACTACTCTATTAAAGAAGCTAATATAAGTATCAATGTTCACTACCTCCCACACATTTTTTTTCTTTATTTTAAAAGGAATGTTCCTTTAACCTTTTTTAATAAAAAACAAAA